TATCTCACATTTTTGAGTGGACAAGGTATTTTCCCTCCTCCCAATTTTCAGACTCTAATGTCCATTCCCTGGGGCTTTTGAACAGGAACTCCTCTTTAATTTTATTAATCCTTCCCATCCTCTTCTAATTCAATTTTATAATCTAATTTATTCTTTAGCAAGTTTTTTTCGTCATCTTCCCTATTTTCGCCCACTCAAGTTGCGCTAAGGGATGTTGCCAGTTCACTGCTTTTTTACATTAAACTGTACAATAGAGGGGAATATTTGGACTAGTAAAAAATGAATATATTTATTTATATTGATTTGCCGCGATGTATTTTTAGAATATTACGTTAAAATATTATTTTAACTAGCTTTAAATTTATTCTAAATTGGCTTTGGATTGATTAAAAACGGTTAATAAAAACAGGCTATTAGAGTCTGGTTTTAATATTTTTGAGTCTCTTGCCCTTAGGCTATGATCAGTTGGGTCTTTACTGATTTTTCTGTTGGAGTTGATATTTTTGTCTTTGGGCTCTAATTAGTTAGGGTTGCAGTTGGGCGTGTTTGTTTTGATATTTAATGTTGATCAGTTGTGTGGGTTAATATGGTGTGTGGATCAGGGATGTGTCAGTTTCGCCTTTCGTCTTTCGCCGATTTTCGCCTTCTTTCGAATTTCGTCTTTCGCTTTTTAAAATCTGTTTCGGCACACCCATGGTGTGGATATTTAAATCGGTGATGGGTTGGGTGTTTTGATTGTTAGTGTTGATCAGTTGGGTATAGCCTTGAATTTTGAATGTCTCTACCTATCGAGTTCTTTGTACCTTTAGAGTTTATCAAAAAAATTTTTTTTTATCAATTCCCGCTTCATCTACTTAAAATCAACAGAAAATGTGAATCATTTCACACTCTCTTGATTTTTTTGTCAAACAAATTAATTCTCTACTTAAATTAATTCTTTCCCTTCCCTCCCCTTTTATTTTATCGCGCCATCGTCACCGGAACACGTTTATTTATTTAAATACTTGTTTTGTCTGTCTTCTTTTTGCTTCTTAATTTGTCTTGTTTTTAAGCATTGATAAATAAAAAAAATAATTTTTTTTCGCTCTGATAAATTTATTGCCGTTCAATCCTCCCTTCATTTTTTCGCTCATCTCTTCTTCACTCTGGTTACAGCCCAAGTAGGCGCGCGGCCAAGTAGGCGCAAAGCCATAACTTGCTTCAAGATTTCCGAACCTTACCAAATTTAGTATTAAACGGTTCCTCTCATTGAGCTAAAGAGATTGGTACCAAAATTGTTAAGGTCCAGAAATTTTCCAGCTAGTTATGGCTTTGCGCCTACCTGGCCGCGCGCCTACTTGGACGTGTCCCCTCCTCTCTCTATTATTTTATTGACCAATCATCCATCCACTCATCCTTTATTCAAGGTCCAACGACTAGCTTTTTAATATTACTATCCTTTCCTAAAAAATATTTTTGGGAAGGAGGATTTCCTGTTTTTGGATTAAAATAATTATTTTTTATTTTGGGACCAAATGTCCCCCTCAGTTTTTTGATAAGAAAAAATTGTGTTTTAATTTTTTTAATTTTTGTCTAAGGGAGCATTCATTTTGCAATTTTCGAGTCTTTTATTAGTCATTCTGGACAGAATTATTGTAGAGTTATTTTAATCCTGTGATAGTGAGAGAGGGAGGGGACGACCACGACTTGGCTTGAATTTTCCCCCATAATTCTAAAATGAATTAATCTTTGAAAAATAAGCTTGGTACCATTCGATAGAGAATTAAATTCTCTATAAAACAAAATTTAAATTAAAAATTTTTATTAACTAGAAAAAAAGTTATGGCCAAAAAACCTTCAGAGACCCAAAATTTTTATTGACCTATCCTCTGATTTTTGGCCACAATTCTTTTTTTCTCGTTCATTTAAATTTTAATTTTATCATTTTTTTGTAGCTATTTTTCTGTTCTATTTAATGATACTAAAATTAATTTTTTAAAAAACTTATTTTTTTTTTTTCTTGGGGAATTTTAAATCAACTGAGGCCCTTTTCCTCGACTTTGTGCCCCCTTTTTCTTAAGAATTTTTTTCGTCTTAATTTTAATTTTTTAAAAATTTTTCTTATAATTTTTTAATCATTTTCTGATGGATTAACTATTAAAAAATAAAAAAAATTATTTATGAATGACAATCACACGCCTTTTCTTTCTTCCTGCTATTTTTGTTGCTGCCACCTTACTACTTTGGTTGTTAATTTGTTATGCACCTGAATGGCCTCAAATTGCGGAAACATCAAAAATAACTGATAAAAATATGACAACAGATAATATTGAAAGGAAAATTGTTGAGAAAAAATTTGTGAGTGATGGAGGTGAATTTTAATTAATTTTTGGATTTAATTAGATTAGTGGGGGGGGGGGGGTATTTTTGAGTTGGTGGTAGTTGAGGACCCATAACTTTGGGTTAAATAGAGATATAAAGTTGATTTTTATTTTAAACGATAGAGGAGATTCAGAGCTACAAAATAGCTGAAAACTAGATTTTTGGGTTTAAAATGAACAGACTTGTGAATTTTTAGGGAGTTATGGTCAAGGTGCTTGTTAGTAGGAGGTGGCAACTTAGGAACCCATAACTTTTGTTTGAATACAGTTATTGAGTCAATTTTTATTCTAAACGATAGAGGAGATTTAGAGCTACAAGATAGGTGAGAATTAGATTTTTAAATTAAAAATGAGAAGACGTGTAAATTTTTAGGGAGTCATAATCAAGCCACTTATTCTTAGCAGGCGACAACTTTAAAAATTCATAACTTTTGGTTAGGTAGAGGTAGAAACTTAATTTTTATTTTAAATGATAGAGGAGATTAAGGGCTACAAAATTGCCAAATTTTAAAAGTTTAGCTTTAGTTTAGACAAAGTTATGAATTTTAAAAGAAGTCTGTCAGGCATAAGAGTACATGACTAAAAAATTTTTTAGATGTTTTAAAAATCAAAAATTAATTTTTCAAAATTAATTTTAATTTTTAGACAATTCATTATCTTCCCCAGCTCCATTTGTATTAGAATTGCCTACTCAATTTGAAAATTTCACTTCATTCACTGCCCGCTTCCGGCTTTATGAACAAAGGCATACCGCCTACATATTTACATTATTTACTTGTATTTATTTGTATAAACAAACATTTGCTATTCCTGGGTCTTTTTTTATGGTGAGAAAATTATCAAAAAAATTTTCAGAAAATTTTCAAAAAAAAATTTTCGAAAAAAAATTTAAAGAAAAATTTTTTCTGAAATTTTCAAAAAATTTTTTTTTAATTTTTCAAAAAAAATTTCAAAAATTTTCAAAAAAAATTTCAAAAAAATTTTTCAAAAATTTTCAAAAAAAATTTCAAAAAAATTTTTTTTCAAAAAAAATACTTAAAAATTTTCAGAAATTTCGAAAAAATTTTTTGAAGTTTCAAAAAATTTTTTCAGAAAATTTCAAAAAAATTTTTCCTTTTCTCAAAGAATATTATTGCCGGTGCAATTTATGGCCTACCCATTGGTTTTCTACTCTGTTCCGTTTTGACTACAATAGGCTCTACTTTGTGCTATTTATTCTCAGAATTATTTAGTCGAGAATATGTTTTGTATTATTTTGGAGAAAAAATTAATTATTTGCAAAGGAAAGTGGACGACAATTCCCACAGATTGTTAGCCTTCCTTTTATTCGCAAGAATGTTTCCGATCTCACCATCCTGGCTCCTCAACATTGTTGCACCTTTTCTAAACATTCCTTTACCGTTGTTTACTTTTTCTGTGCTTGTTGGACTCGCTCCATACAACTTTATTTGTGTTCAGGTAATTTTTCTTTTTTCCGGAAAAACATTTATAAAACATTTAGTCTAATAAAAACATTTCGGGAAATGTTTTCCGGAAAAACATTAAAACAAACACTTTTCCAACTAAAACATTTTCCGGAAGATGTTTCCCTTTAAATTATTTATCCGGAAAAACAAAAACACCTTAAAAACAAAACTAAAAACAAAATAAAAACATTGTTGGAAAATGTTTCCCTTCAAATTTAACCGGGAAACAAAACATTTTTCAAAACATCTCTAAAAACAAACAAAACATGTTCCAAAACATCTCTAAAAACAAACAAAACATATTTCAAAACATCTCTAAAAACACAACATTTTTTTTGTTTTTCAGGCAGGTTTTATTCTCTCTGATTTACGTGGTTGGGACGATGTTTTTAGCACAGCAACAATGTTGAAATTAAGTTCGTTTGCTCTCCTTCCTCTCTGTTATGCAATGTTTGTAAGGAAAAAACGATTACAACATGTAAACAACAACGCATTAAAAAGTATAAAATGTTTGTCAATTCCTAGAAAACACAACAACAACAAACTTTTTTCTTTTTCTACCACTAAAACAACAATATTTCCTCACAACAACACTAAAAACATTGAAAGCTCAACAGAAATGTTTTGTTCAGAATTTGACCATGTTGTGTTAAGTAATTACGAGAATTCAACAACAACATCTTCCTACTCAACAAACAACTAACTTTTTTAATTGTTATATGTTTTTAGCTTTTCCGGAAAAACATTTATTATAGAAACATTCCTTAGTTTAATAATAAAAACATTTTCCGGGAAACATCAAAACTAAAACACATTTTTCCCAATAAAAACATCTTCCGGAAAGTGTTTTCCGGAAAACATTAAAACTAAAACACAGTTTTCCCAATAAAAACATCTCCCGGAAAGTGTTTTCTGGAAAACATTAAAACTAAAACACATTTTTCCCAATCAAAACATTTTCCGGAAAAACACGCAAAAACATACTCTAAGAACACAAGTCTAATTTTTAATATTGACCTTATACTACATTTTAATTATAAAAATACCAGATTTATTTTTTTTAATTTTTTATTGATGTATTTATACTTTTTCTTTGCCTTTCATATTTTTACATAATTTTATCAAGTGCAATAAATATTTTGAAAACTTTTTTAATTTTAAAATTTCTCTAATGTCAATTTTCTTCACATATAGCTCTTACAACAGAAGGGTCTAATAATTTTGGTTGGGCACATTGATTCACTTTAAAAAATTTATTCTATTTAAGAAAAAAAAATTAATTTTTACCAGCAGCCGTCACAACATCTTCAATCGACATATTAAGCATATGTTCATCCCCAGCATGTGCCCAAAGCTTTTGTCGCATATATGCACAATCGACCTAAAAATTAAAAAAATATTTTTTTAATTTAAGAATTTCCTTAAAAAATAAATTTTTTTCACCTGTAATTGTTCTAACCCGTTTCTTGAAAATTTGGGTTGCGCACGAACAAATTCACATAAATACAAACTCAGTAAACGAATTAAAGCATTCATAACCTTTTAAATGAACATATTTTAAATGTTCTTATTAATTAAAAATGTTTTCCGGAATGTATTTTTCGAACATGTTTATAATGTGTTTTCTTCAAAAAACATTTCCGGAATGAAAGTTGATTATGCTTTAATTAAACTTGTTTTCCGGAAATTTCCGGAAAATACATTCTTATTTTTATTAAACATTTTAGGGAAAACATCAAAACTTAAACACATTTTTCTAATAAAAACATCTTCCGGAAAGTGTTTTCTGTGAAACATTAAAACTAAAACACGGGTTGCCTTTCATATTTGTTTTAATGTAAGTTTATGTTTTGTAAGTTTATGTTTTAATTATGTTTTAATTAAACTTGTTTTCCGGAAATTTCCGGAAAATACATTCTTGTTTTTATTAAACATTGTATTTTTGTTATTGTTTTCCGGAAAACACATTCTTATTAAACTTTGTATTTTTAAAACTTTCTAGTTTTCCTTAACCAAATAAAAACACAAAAATTCAAAACTTACAATATCCCTTCTAAATTCCACTTTTAAATTAGCCAAAAATTCTTTTATAGCTCCTTCACCATTTTTACTATTTTCTTCTCCATCGGTATCATCATTATCATCATCACCCCAAAGACGTTCAACTATTCCTCCACTACTTCCACCCAAAGAAGAATTGTTGTCATTATTGTTGTTATTATTGTAGACGCTACTAGCTACACTTGCTGCTCTTCTCATTGTATAATAACTTGAAAAAAATTTTTTTTAATTAAAAAATTAATTTCCATACGGAAGATGTTTTAATTAAACATAAACATATGTTTTGGTTGTGTTTCTTTTTTAATTAATTTCCATCACGAAGATGTTTTGACTAAACATAAACATATGTTTTGGTTATGTGTTTTTTTTTTAAATTAATTTTCGGTGGCCGAACGTTTCGTCACTGAACTTTTCGTTCACTGAACCTTTCGTCAAAACCTTTCGTCACTGAACCTTCCGTCACCAAACCTTTCGTCACTGAACCTTTCGTCACTATTCACCATAGAAAAGAGAAAGCACATCTGGATGGACAAATTTAACAAAATAGATTTATGGAAATTAAGTTGAATAAAAGAAAGTCATATGAATGAAGATGAAATATAATAAACAAAATTAATAACTTTTTGATAAAAAACAAATAATAATAAGGATGTTGAGTGAAATAAATTTATTTTGATTTACTATTTTTATTTTTACTAAAAAATTATTTTCATAAATTTTTTTACTCATATTGGCTAAAATGGACGTAGGTTCATCACAGATGAGGGGCAAATTTTTTCTTCATCTTCCGAGGAGATGGAGGATTTACTCGAATTTATTGAAGTAAAATCTAAAAGAGGTTCATCTCTCTTAACTCGTGACGGCTTTGAATACCAGTTTGAACGTTATTCTGCCGTGGATAATCAAGTTGTCCAAAGCCAAGAGGCTTTGGACAGTTGTTCACTATTCACGTCATCGTAGACTCTTGTGCAGTACCTTGCATCTTTGCTTGTCTACCCACGAAACACGTTCAAGGATATATTAACGTTTTCCGAGCAATTCAAAATCGCATTCAAGACTGGGCTCCAGAACGTGTCATGTGTGATTTTGAACAATCTGAGATATCAGCTGTGCGCCAAGTCTTCCCTCATGCGACTATTACCGGTAAATCTTAGGAAAAACTAGCTCTAGAAAATTTTTTGAGGATGTGTTTTTCATCTTGGAAATGCGTTATACAATCATATACAAGCACTGCCTGGTTTATCTGCTCGTTATAGAAATAATAACAATGATAAAAACTTGCTCCGATCACTTCAGGTATCTACCGTATTTCCTCGAATTCATTAGTTTCTTTCCTATGTCGTATGGACTTAAATAATTTTGACCTTTTTTAAAATGTACCCTTTTGTCGTTTATATATTTCGTTTGTTTCCCTTTTTATTTTACTTAGTGCTTATAAAAGCTTCCATCCCCTCCCCTAAATTCTTCTGTTCACCATTCATTCTTAATTTGTTTAATTTGTGGAAATAAAAATAAAAGTTGTGGTCTTCTTTAATTTTGTATTGATTCTTTTAAATTAAATTTAATTCAAATAAATTCTTCTGCTTCCCCATTAAATTTGACTTGATTTAAATTTGACACCTAGGCTCTGGCATTTGTGCCTATTAATGAGGTTTACACATTTATGTGTATTTTAATGGACGTGCTAATGGGTCCTCCTGCAGATGAAGTTTTGGTAATATAACATTGAGTAGTTGTATTTATACACAATATAGGAACTTTGCAACAAATATTTGCTGAATTTGCTCAGCGAGCTAATGACCCAATTGGGTACCTACGTACTGTCTCCTATCATTTAGCAACACAGTAAATATAACTAAATTACCGATTATGATCAATTTGTCATTTTTGACAACTTATTTGATTTTTAAAAATAAAGTCTTGGTGACGAAAGGTTCAGTGACGAAAGGTTTGGTGACGGAAGGTTCAGTGACGAAAGGTTTTGACGAAAGGTTCGGTGACGAAAAGTTCAGTGACGAAACGTTAGGGAACCTAATTTTCCGGTAGATGTTTTAATTAAACTTTAATGTGTTTTCGTTTTAAAACCTTTCCGGAATGTATTTTAAATAAACATGTGTTTTCCGGAAATGTATTTCAAAGCTTCTTTTTTTATTAAAACATTGTGTTTTTGTTAGTTTTCCGGAATGTTTTTATGTATTTTAAATAAAAATATTCTAATGTATTTTAATTAAACACATGTTTTCCGGAAAAGTATTGTTTTAAAATTATGTTTTTCTCTACCCATGCGACGATTCTGGTGTTCTCTCCTTCGAAGCAGTAAAGCCATCACTCTCCAACTGGAAAATTTATTGAAATTTTTTTAACATTTATCACAATAAAGACTAACTAAAGCAGCCACATCAATATCCTTTTCTGCCACTGAACGTACCAAATGTTTAATTAAAGTACGTACACGTTGAGGTGTTTCCGAACATTCAGCCCATTCAAAAGTAAAAATACATTTATTTGCAATCTGAAACAGATTTTTTAATTTGAAAAAATACAAAAACCTTAGAAAGTGATAAACTTTCAACTTGTATATATTTTCTCAACAATTTTTCTATTAATTGTTGTAATTGACTTGTCGGTGTTTCAATGTTTGTAAGTTTGTATTGGTTAGAGAAGTGAAAATCGTTGAGTCTTAAAAAATAAAAATACATTCCGGAAAAGTTTTAAAAAGAAAACACATTTTATAAACATTAATTGTGTCTTTGTAAACACTTTCCGGAAAAAATACAACAAAACACAATGTGTTTAATAAAAATAAAAACAGAGTTCCGGAAAATGTTTTCCGGAAAACATGTTTAAAACACATTAAAATAAGTTTATTTAAAATACATTCCGGAAAAGTTTTAAAAAGAAAACACATTTTAAAATCAAAACATGTTTAATTAAAACATCTTCCGAAAAATTAATTAATTAAACAAAACACACAAAAACACACCTATATTGTTGTTGCGCTAATTCCAACAAATATTCCAAATGTTTTAAACGTAAATTTCTTAAAAGCGCACAAAGAATTAATAATTCTGTTCCCTTCCCTTCTTCCTCATTTTCTGTTAAAGAATCAATTCGTAAATTTATATTTGTTGTCAAATCTTGAATTGATCCAATCTAGAAAAATTTAAAAAAGAAAAATATTTTAATTAAATATTTACCACAATTTGTTCGTGAACATCAAAACCAAAAATAGCAGTAAAATGAGGAATTGAAGAAAATATTATATCTGTTGCTGTAAACCTGGAAAAATAAATTATAAAAAATTATTAATGTATTTATTGTTGGAAACATTTTCCGGAAAAGGAAAAAAGAAAAAAACATCTTCCGGAAAATTAATCAAACATGAATAAACATTAAAACAATGTTTTTCCTGAAGTTTTAATTACATACATGTTTTCCGGAAAAGTTGAGTGTGTGTTTTTACGGAACATGTTTTTATTGAAAATGTGTTTATTAGATGTTTTTGTGTTTTCTTGTGTTTTCCGGAAAACTAAACAAACATTAAAACAATGTTTTTCCTGAAGTTTTAATTACATACATGTTTTCCGGAAAAGTTGAGTGTGTGTTTTTACGGAACATGTTTTTGTTGAAAATTTGTTTATTAGATGTTTTTGTGTTTTCTTGTGTTTTCCGGAAAACTTTTACATTTGAACAAATTTTTAATAAAAACATGTTCCGAAAAAAAACACAAAACAATTAAAAATATTTAAAAACAAACAAACATTAATAAAGAAGCCAAAGCACTTTTTATTGAATGTAAAACACAATGTTCAATTTTATCCAATAATTCTCTCAACAATGTTTTTCGAGCATTATTGTTGTTGTTACTGGTAGCACCAGGGCCCTATTTCAATTGTCCACAGATTCTGCGGTCTGCGTTCTGTGCACAGACCACAGAACCACAGAAATTCTGTTTCAATTATTCCACAGATTCTGCGGAAAAAGAAGTCCGCAGATTCTGTGGAAACATGCACAGAATCTGTGGAAACATCCACAGATTCTGCAAAACATCCAAAAACATGCAAAAACCACAGAATTCTATTTCAATTATTTTTCTGTGCACAGAAAAAAATCCACAGATCTGTGGCTTTTTTAGTCGATTCTGTGCATTTCTGTTTCAATTATTTCTGTGGTCTGCGGAAAATACACAGAATTCTTTAAAAAATCCACCCTAAAATTTTTTCTGCGAACTTTCTGTGGAAAAACTTTAACAATTTTTTTCTAGGCCTAGGCTTAACCAAATTTCAAAATTTTTAAAGATTATTAAAGTTTGAATCATTCTCTATTTTTTGATATAAAAATTATAATTTTATTACCTAAAATTATTGCTTAAAATTAATTTTGAAAAAGGTACATCTTTTTTACGCAGTTTTTGTTATATTCAAGCAATAAAAAAATAAAAAACGTGAGAGATTCTGAAATTTAGAGCTATGATGTTCTAATCATCATGGATATCTCTAATGAGGGGATGTTTACCAGGATCTATAGAATATATCTGTATAGCGTATACTGGGATATCTCCCATGATCTCTCATTGATATCCGTCATAATCTCTCCTCCTATTTAATGATAGATTTCCTCCTTAATCACTCCAATATATTAAACCTCAAAATCAATGGATATCCCACTTAATCACTCCTCTACGATTTTAAAGTTCCGATTTGACTATAATTTTGGATTCCAGGCATTTTCGATTTCCAGGAACCTCAATTTCTGACTAAACAATCCCCAAACATTTCCCTCCCTTGCAACAACTTCTATCGTAGTTTGAAAAAGCCACATGTCGGATCGACATCTCCTGATTTTTCCGATCCGAACCCTGCTTTAGGACATTAATTTAATTGGAGATTTAAGGATATTGGATGAACAAGAAAATTAAGCGGTATATCAGCGGTTTTAAAGTGATATCAAAGAGATTTAAAGGGATGTTATGTGATTTGGAGGGAAAATTTTTAAATCTTTACAATATTTTTCAGTTTAATTTAAGAATTTTTAAAGTTTTACTTCAAAAAATCAGGTACCATTAATACTGCGGTAGTACCGAACTGTCCAAACCATTTTTCGTTTCAATAAAACTGTTATTTTCAAAAACGCGGAAATAAAAAATTTGAATTTAGAAGAAAAAATACACAGAACCACAGAAAAATAATTGAAATACAAATTCTGTGGATCAGTGGAAAAAATCCACAGATTTTTATATTTTCCACAGAAATTTTCATCCACAGAATCTGCGGAATGTTTCCACAGAATCATTGGATGTTTCCGCAGAATCTGCGGGCACCACAGATTCTGTGCACACAGAATTTAATTGAAACAGAATTTCCACAGAATCTGTGTTCTGTGCACAGAATGCAGAATCTGTGGACAATTGAAATAGGCCCCAGAAGAATAGAATTGACCTTTATCACTATGGGAGGAGGAAAAAGCGATAGGTGTTGAATTATTTAATTTTGTAAATGCCTTAAAAAAATTTTTTTGAAATTAAAAAATTTTTTAATCAGAAAAATTATTTGCGGACTTGCAATAATCCGCAAAATTTGTCCGCAAATTTTCTGAATAATCCGCAAATTATTTGCGGACCTGAATAATCCGCAAAAAAATGTCCGCAAAAAATTTGCGGACTTATCTTCAAATTATTTGCGGACATAATACCAGGGTTTATTTAATTGGAAAATTTTTTTACAAAGAAAATACTGTTAACCTCATTTATAGCCTTTTGTATTGTTTCACCAACAAATTGACGGCATAAAATAATTTGATGTTTGGCTAAAAATTTTAAAATTAAAAAAAATTTTTATTTAATTTTACCAGCACGATGAACTATAGAAGAATTCATTCGAGTAAAGCTGAAATCTAAAAGAAAAAAAATTTTTATTTGCGGACTGTCCGCAAATTATTTGCGGACTTTTTTTTAAAAATTACAAAAACAAACCAGGTGAAAGCCTTGCTAACACAGAAATTTTTCTACAAATTCTATCCAATGATTTTACAAATAAAGAACAATCAACAGAGTTTGTTTCATTAGCAAAACGTTTATCTACAATTTGTTCAAATATAGTCATTACACGTTCAAGTAAATGGGCAAATTCTGCTCTAGAATGCTGAAAAAAGTAAAAAAAATTATTTGCGGGCTTAAAATAAAGCTTAAAATAGTCCCAAAAATAATCTGCAAAAGTATAAGGATCCATAAAAGAATCCATGAAAGAATCCGCAAAATTTGTCCGCAAAAAATTTGCGGACATAAAATAAAGTCCGCAAAATAATTTGCAGACTGTCCGGAAAGTCCGCAAAAATTGTCAGCAAATATTTTTCAGAATTGAAATAATTCACAAAATCCATCCGCCATTAATTTGCAGTCTTGAAATAATCTGCAAATTTTATCCGCAACTTTTTGCGGACTTTAATTAAAAAAACCTGTTTATTAAACAATTGTAAAAAAGTAGAAGCCATCAAAGAAACATTAGTCAAAAAATGACAACATCCCGTATCCACAAATTCAAAAATATCATTAAATTTAATATTAGTTGGTAATTCTCCAGGTATTTGTTGTTGTTGTTCATTTTCTTCTTCTCTCAATTTATTTAATTCTGAATAAATTTCTCTTTCGAATGTTGAAAGTAATTGGGATTCTAATTCATTTTCAGATATTCCCAATTTTTTTAAAAGTTGAACTGCTTGAATTACTGATTCTGATGAAATGAGACGACGTTCCAATTGTTCGGAAAGCTGTAAAAAAGAGAGAAAAAATTTCGAAAATTTTTACCAGTTCGACATTTAAAGTCAAGAGTTGGTTTCATGGGGACAGGAATGGTAGTTCCGAATGAGAGCCTCCCATCATTCCCAGGGACGGGAGTTGATTCCTAATTTTTACAACAGACAAAAAAATCGTGTTATAAATCCCCAAAAATTTGTCACAGATTTGCGGACAAAACTTGCGGATTTTAGAAAAAAAAATTTAAAAGGGAAAAATTTTATTAGGACCAGAAATTAACTAAAATTCTGATGTTTATCAAATTCCAAAAATTATTCCAACCTGTTTTTTAACTCCTTCCATAATCTTCTCTGAATCACTAGCAATCCCTGCCATTGAAGGAAGATTTTTCAGCTTTTCCAATTTTGGTTGTATTGAAACAAAAGTATCTACTGCTTTAGAAAAATCGTTTTGCTCGACACAAGTCTTTTTAAAAACAAAATTAAATTTAAAAAAAAATAATTTAAAAAACCTGTAAAATTTGTGGGGCTTTAATCAAAAATTCTAAGCGTTTAACTGAATCACGCGCTTCATTCAATTTTTTAACCCGTTCACAATTCTTTGCAAATTTTTCAGTTAAGGAGTCTGACAAGTCTGCAATTTTGTTTATTCGAGAAGATAGGGAGTCCATTTCCTTTAAAATTTTAATTTATTTAATGTCTGAAATAAGCAAAAATAAATAGGCGTTCAGAAAAAAATTTCTTTAAAAATTGATTTTTTGGTGTAGTGGGTAAATGCTTGGTCCAGGGGTGTAGGGTTCGATACCCAAGTGGGTAAAACCATTTTATTTTACTTATCGTTAGTTAAAAAAGTTAGTTAGAAAATAAATAGGCGAGACCTAATAAAAAATTTCTTTAAAAATTGACTCTTTGGTGTAGTGGGTAAATGCTTGGTTATTAAAAGCAAAGGGTGTGGGGTTCGAATCCCAGTTGGTAAAAAATCATTTTATTTTTAGATAGTTACCAGAAAAAACGAAAAAATATAATTCCAATTCTTAAAAAAATTTTTACATTATGTGCATCAGTCAGTCTATTTTGCATGTCTTTAACGGTACTTGTTGCATTTAAAAATTTGCTATAATTTTCGTAAACGAGTGATTGCATTTCAGAATCAAGTCTTCTAACATTATTTACCTTTAAAAAAATTTTTAAAAAAATTTTTAAGAAATTTAGAAACCATATCTTGTTCTACAGCAACCAATTCCTCCAACCCCTTTTTGCGTAATAAATCTTGCACATAATACTCTGCATCAAAGCTTGAAGAATTAATATCTAAAGTTGATTTTGAGGATGTTGAAAAACTCATTCTTCTATCAAAATTTAAAGTTGCCACAAAAATGTAGTTGGAACGAATCGGGGTTTTTGTTCAATGGGACGAAATGTGGCGGCGAAGAAAAAAGAAAAAAATACTGGAGAGGTCGGTTGAGCGCCAAAAATTAATTAAAAATAAAGTATAACTCAAACAAAGGGAAATTGATGTTTTCCGGAAAAGACAGATTGTTGTTGTATTTTTACAAAACACAGTGTTGTTTGTTTTGTTGTTTTCCGGAAAATACACATTGTTGTTGTATTTTTATAAATCACTATGTTGTTTGTTTTGTTGTTTTCCGTAAAATACATTGTTTTTGTGTTTTTATAAAACACAATGTTGTTTGTTTTGAACAAACCTTTAAAATGTTTT